CTTTGATTTTCTTTGAAACCATTAAAAACAATTGCTTAGTATGCTTACCTCCTTTACTCAGTATAGAAGTAAAAAAAAGTTTCTTAATATAAAATTTATATTATCTCTTTGGAATAGACTTTTTTTCTAATTTTACTTTCCTTTAGAAAGATTAAATACTAGGGGCTGGGAATGTGGCTTAGTGCATGATGCCCTGGGTTCGATTCCTCAGCACCACATAAACAGAAAAAGCGCGAAGTGGCAAAGTTGCTCAAGTGGTAGAGTGTTAGCCTTGAGCAAAAGCAGCTCAGGGACTGCGCCCAGGCCCTGATTTCAGGCACCAGGACTGGCAAAAAAAAAAAAAAAAAAGATTAAGTACTAACGTTCGGGTTGCAATGTAAACTCCACATTAGATAGCAGGTTAGGATTATCTTTACCGAAGTATTGTTGAAGTTGAAAAACATTGGTTATGGTAGCTCCTGTAACAGTGTTTATCTTGGAAATGTTTTGTTTGTGTATTTTTCTTAAACAAGAAAGTTTGCTTCACCACTCATTTTAATGCTTGATTATGAAAAATGAGGGTGTTATTACTTTTATTGTATTCAGGAAAATCTTGCTTCAAATGATTATATAGCATAAAATATATGGTAAGTAGCCATCCATAAATTTAAAAAATTTAAATGACATATAAGCCACAGTTCAGATAAGACCTAACTTTTAACTATATACAGTTAATTGTTAGTAAAAACTGGCTGAACTAGAATTGTAGGCTGAATTTTCTTCATTAGTATTTATGTGTGAAAAACTAAATCCAGTATTAATTGAAAGCAAACAATGAAAAATGACACATTTAACTCAGGTATTCAATAATTGTTTATTCATCATGGCAGGAAATTTATCATTTATCATTTAAGATTTTTTTCTCTTCCACTGTCCTATTAGTGTGTCATTACAAACACAGCATTTACAAAATATAATGAAAATAGGGGCTGGGAAGGTGACTTAGTGGTAGAGTGCTTGTCTTGCAGGCATGAGGCCCTGGGTTCGATTCCTCAGCACCACATTAGCAGAAAAAGCCAGAAGTGGTGCTGTGTCTCAAGTGGTAGAGTGCTAGCCTTGATCTGAAGAGCTGAGGGACAGTGCCCAGGCCACACAACTGATAAAAATAAAAAATAAATAAAAATATATATCATGTAATTATATATGTGTATATCTATCTATATATATATATTGAAAATGCATGCTATTGAAATACACATACATATATTCAAAATACCAGCTGTTCGTGGACAGAGATTGGAAATGGAGGTTTGAGGCTAGCCTTGTAAAAATATTAGTGAGCATCTCAAAAAAACAAGCTGGACATGATGATGTATGTATGTAATCCCAGTTACCTAGGAGACAGGTAGGATTACAGTCCAAGGCCAGCCCAGGCAAAATCAAGGAACCTATCTTTTTGGTGACACTGGTGATTGAAAACTCCATGCCTCACACTAACTAGGCAGGTGCTTTATCTCTGGATCCATGTCTCCAGCCCAATTTTTTTTGTCAGTAGTGGGGCTTGAACTCTGGGCCTGGGCACTGTCCTTCAGCTCTTCAGCTCAAGGCTAGTGCACTACCTCTTAAGCCACAGTGCCACTTCTGGTTTCTAGTAGTTTATTGGAGATAAGAGACTCATGGACTTTCCTGTCCAGGCTGGCTTTGAACTGCAATCCTCAGATCTCAGCCTCCTGAGTAGGTAGGATTACAGGTGTGAGCCACCTGCGCCTGGCTCTCCAGCCCAATTTTAACTGGTTTTTTTGTTTGTTTGTTTTTAACCATACTGCTTAAAAACTATCATTGTGTTTTCGTGTTGAAATGGAACTGTTTTCTCCCTACAGAAGTAGGGGAAATTTTGAGTGGGATGTGGGGTTTAGGTGTCTCATCCTTAGGTTCTATTCAAGTGTAATCCTCAGGCTAAAGGGAGTGAACAGTTACTAGATTGCTTTGCCAGACTGAACTGACTTTCAAAACATCTTCCCACAGATTATTTATTTTTAATTATTGTGATTAACTTTTGCTGTTTCTAAGTACAAAAAAATGCATTTCTCCATTTTTGAAGGTTGGCTGCATTTCCAGGTAATTTCTATCTTTGACCATAAATTAAGTGGAATTTGGGTATTGATGTATGTGTTCTAAGTTTCTATTAGATGACAAATATTTTGAATATTTCACCTGTAGAATACCCCTCCCTACTCCCAATTCCTTCCTACTGCCCCCTTTATATATTTATAATCTCTCTCATCCCTAATCTCTAGTAAAAGCTGTTTGCTTTCAGATTCTACAGTTGTCTTTTCAGGATGTCATCTAAAGTAAATGCTATAGTGCCTTTATACTTATGCAAATATTAATCTTTGCTAACATAAACACCAAAAAGAGCCTCATTAAAGTAGTTCATCTATATTGTTCATCAATAGTTTATTCCTTTTTCTTGTTAATATTCCATTGTGTGGATGTACCTGTTATACACTCACTGAAGACCTTTTATATTGTTTCCAGTTTGGGTCAATTATGAATAAATTACTTTACATAATGATAACAATGCTGTCCATAAACTATATGCTATACAGCTTATGTGCAAACAGCAGTATTTATTTGGGATAAATACTTGGGAATTGAATGTTGATTCCAGAGTAGATATCCAAACCCTGAATCATTTACTTTTCTTTGTGTACACCTAAAGAAGCATTTAAATTCTTCCATTCCTATTTAAAAAACTCCAAAAATGAATGTGCTGACAATATTTACTCTCTAGTGATAATGAGTACTATTTCAGTATTTTCCTTTAGTCTATGGGATCTATAGTATATGCTATGGTACCAAGCTGTTTCTTTTCGTATCATTATCCACTTATTCTGCCAGGATGCTTTGTGTTTCCTTTCACCTTTATATATTACTCAAATGTTGGGATTCTGCTCCGTGCTACCTCCTACAGGGCCGTTGGAGCTGCAGATCTGGAGATTTTGATGCCTACTGCACATCACCAGGCACAAGTTTTTCAAAACCTCCTCCATTACTATCTTTGGCTATTTGTTCATGCTCTGACCTCTTCCTTATTTCCACATCTGAAGGGTCACTGGATTTGTCAAAATGTCATTTCATTTCTACCCAGCAATGTCATCTAAGGTTAGATCACAACCTTGCTCAGAGCCACCACACTGTACTGTCCTAGGGGCATCTTTCAGCAAACTGCACTGAGTCTGGGACCCGAAGCTCCAGGGACTACTCAACAGCAGTGAACATAGCACTTTTCAAGGTTTGGTCTTTTTAGTCTTCTCAAATTCTCCAGCTACCTTTGTTTATCTAATGTCCAAATTCAAAGCCAGACCTCCAGACTCTGAGTTCTTAGTTTTTTTTTTCATCTTGCACAAGTAACATAGCCTGCCCATATACAATTATATTTAAAATTATACAATATGTAAAATGGACACATATATTTCAGTTATGGACTTTGGTTCTTAAACTTTTGAAATATTAGGACTTCATACCTTTACTAAATCCTGTTTCTGATTCACTTAATACTCTGGAGCCTGACTGCCTATCATTTGTGTTAGCTATACTTTGGCAACTTCTACTTTATTTTTAAAACAGGACTAAAATGAACTCATATACCCCCAAGGGCCTCAGACAGTATCTGACATGTTTTAATGCTAGCTATTATTGTTTAACCAAATGGGAGAATAATTCCTGATTTGCTGTCCCAAACCCAAGCTTCAGGAACTTTGCTTTCATCATATACAGAATTTGTTTTCTGTTTGTGCCATTATATCTATGCACTGTATTTCCTACTTGGTTAATGGTAATGTCAGATTTCATTTAGTTGCTTAGCCTAGACATACTGAAGTGGTCTTCAGCTTTTCTCTCTTTTCTCAGCCTATACGTGTTGATCATATTATCAAATATCTTGTGAGACCTTTTCCATTGGCTTCCTTCCTTCCTGGTACTGCAACCACCTCAGTTCAACTCCTTTCCATCTTTCCCTTGGCTTGTAACACTTCAAATTCCTGCAGCTCCTTGAGGCTATATATGTGGTGTTAGAATAACAGCAACTTGGAATTAAGTTCTAAAGTTGAGAGAATGGAGGAAGCTGAAATTTTAAGCTTAGAAGAGTCAAATTTTAGGCTTAGGGAGTATTTGTTAATTATGAGGCTCTGGAACAGATGACACTGATGAGGGAGGGTTTTGCTTTTTTTTAAATATAGAACTGAAGTTGCCAAGTGCAGAATTAAAGATAAATCAAGATTTCTTCTTAATCTTCCGATATAATCTAAATTTTAATAAGGCTTAGATACGGTACTATTACAACTAAGCAGAGTTAAAGTGAAGAGTAGAAAATAAAATTTAAAAATTATTTGCAGGGGCTGGGAAGGTGGCTCAAGTGGTAGAGCGCTAGCCTTGAGCTGAAGAGCTGAGGGACAGCGCCCAGGTCCAGAGTTCAGGCCCCATAACCGGACCCAAAAGAAAAAATTATTTGCAATTTGTTGGAAAACTTCCAATATGCTTAATAATCTCCAAATTTAGAACATATCAGACCAATAATCTGGAAAGCTTGTAGCTTCTAGGTTAGTAAATAGCACTTTCATCAAGTTGGCTCTTCATCTATGTATCTTCACTCTCTAAATGAAACTGGTATTTGGTGACCTACTTCCTACAATGTAAAGGCAATATAAAATCTCAAGCCATAAAAATACTCTGTGTACTTTGTAAGTACAACTACTGATACCCAGATTGTTACATAAAACATGTACTTGTGTGCTTGTATGTCACAAGCAATGGTATAACTTCTGAACTTTGATATCTCCTTAATGAGTCTGGAATTATCTCCAAAGAAAACATAAAATAGACCTCCAAACTGTAGTACCCAGTTCCTGCTACTTACAGAGAATGCATGAACTTATTTAGAGGGAATCTCTGAGATTATCTGTTTACTTAGGTAATAATTAGGTCAGAGTTTCAAGAACAATACTTTGAGAAACACTGTCTTATGCTATAAACACATTTTAATCAAGAACTTTATAAAACATCTTAAGAAATGTTATAGACTATGGAAAAGATGTTTTGAATAACCATGATATATGGCCCAAGTAGAAAATACATTTTCTTTATTCAAATAATGTTGACTTTAAGTATTCTTTAAAATAACAGTTATACCAAAGCTACATTTTAATTTCATCACATTGCACTCCAAATTCTTTACCATTTACCAAAAAATAACTTTTAATAAAGCTTTACTATTTTGTCTACAAGTATACAGACTGCCAACCTATAGTTTTATGTGTTTCTCTCAAAAATTAGAATAGCTTATGATAATATCATATAAAACGATTTGGTATATTACACACCAAGGGTAAGTACAGATTCTGTACAATGTAATAGTACACACATATATTATAGGAAAACAAATGCCTTGCAAACATATTTTAAGAAATCTTTCATGGAAAAAATTCTGCATTTCACAATGTGGTAGCTTGGATACCAGCTATTTTGCTTTCATGAATTTCTTTCAGTAGGCATTAATTGTCCATTTAACTTCATTAGCAGTTTTACCACCAGACCAGCCTAGAAAGTAATATATATGTTAACAGTAAATATGAACATAGGGAAATTTAAAAGACATACATTGCAGTGGGCAATATCTATTTGAGAGGGAACTTTGTTAATAGGAAGCAATTTGGGTACAGAGGAATAATCATTCTGGGTTTTTGGAAATATTTAAGAAGTAGCCTGCTAGATAGAACTAGTTGTTCAGACAGAAGTCAAAAGAAAGGACTACCTAATTCCCATCTTGGAAGAGAGAGAGAATAACAGATCAAAATGAAAAGAAATGGTGTAAGAATTTGTCTAAAGCAATTTAGCTAGGCACTGGTGGCTCATGCCTCTAATCCTAGCTACTCAAGCTGCTGAGATCAAAGGATTGTGGTTTAAAGACAGCCCGAGCAGAAAAGTTCTCCATACTCTTATCTCCAATTATCCACCCCAAAGCAAGAAATGGAGCTGTGGCTCTTAATCAATAAAGCCTTAGCCTGAGCACAAAAGCTCAGGGTCAGCGACCAGGTCCTGAGTTCAAGCCCCACAAAGGACAAAAACAAAACAAAAACCCAGAAATTATTCAACTTTCTTTCCTTGCTTAGGAGAGGTCTTCCATTTTCCCTTTGTTTTGAGGTACTTACATTTTTCTACTAGAGGTTTCCCTGAAATTTAACTGGTTGTCTCCCTTACCCTCTTTTTCTTCCTTTCTTTGCTAGTAGTTAGGCTTGAATTCAGAGCTTCTACCTCTCACTCAGATTACTTACTCATGGCTGTCACTTTATACTTGAACAATGCCTCCAGCCCAGCCTTTTGATGATTAATTGGAGATGGAGTTGTGCAGATTTTTCTGCTCAGGCTGGCTTTGAACTGTGATCTTAGCCTCCTGAGTAGCTAGGATTACAGGTGTGAGCCACCAGCGCCTAGCCAGTCTGTCACTTTTTAGCAAGAAGTAACATTAATAATACAGTAGTATTGATACATACCTGTTTTGTGTGTACTATAAAGCTCATTTTATTTTCCATACTATGGATCTGAAAACAAGTATCAGCATCTCCCAACTGCCACATGAAACAGCCATACTTAAGACTGATGAGTAAAGCCTGTGATACAATTAGCAAATGTTATATTAAAATATAACACTAAAATTAATGGCTAATTTTCTTGCACTTCTATAGTTACCTAGTCAGATCTAAACGTAATGGTTTTCATTATAAAACTTCATTTAAAGTATCTAAATGCAGCTAGATGCCTGTGTTTCACACCTGCAATCCTAGCTAATTAGCAAGGTACTGGTGGCTTAGGCCTTTAATCCTAGCTACTCAGGAGGCTGAGATCTGAGGATCACAGATCAAAGCCAGGTGTTATCTCCATTTAATATCAAAACGCAGAAGTGGAGCTGGGGTTCAAGTGATGAGTGTCATCCTTGAGTGAAAAAGGTAAGATCACCCAAGCCTTTAGTTCATGTCTCAGTACTAACACATATATACATAAAAGTCACATGAAATGCAAAACATGTATTCAAATGAACAGTCATAATCCCTTCAACACTAAATCCTATTTCCAAAAGCTTCTCATAGCTAAATCCTAATTTTTTAAATGAAGGGATGTTGAATTTTTCTTAAGTCTCCCTCCCCTCCTCCTCTCACTCTTTCCAGGATCCAGGATCTCACTATGTAGCATAGGCTAACCTTGAACTCACTAGGTAGCCCAGGATGGGCTCAAACATGTGCTCCTCCTAACTCAGCATGTCCTGGGTGCTAGAATTACAGGTATGCACCACCATACTTAGTTATACTATCATTTCTTTCATTTAATGGATATTTAAAACAGGTAATTCTACAGTTAAAATTTCTATGTTGGAGGGCTGGGAAGGTGGCTCAGTGGTAGAGCACTTGCTTTGCATGCTCAAGGCCCTGGGTTCGATTCCTCAGCACCACATAAGCAAAAAGAAAAAAGCCGGAAGTGGCGCTGTGGCTCAAGTGGTAGAGCACTAGCCTTGAGCTGAAGAGCTGAGGGACAGCGCCCAGGCCCAGAGTTCAGGCCCCACGACCGGACCCAAAAAAAAAAAATTTCTATGTTACAAAAAGCTTTTAACTGTTTCTGTCCTTTCCCCAATTCCTATGTTGAAGCTCCTACTCCCAAAAATGTAGTATGCTATTAGGAAGTGAGGCTTACAGAGAGGCCCCACAGAGCTCTGTCTTATTTTCCACCATGTGAAGAACAATAAGAAGTCAGCAGTCTGCAACCCAGAAGGCCTTCATAAGAACTTGACCATACTCATGTCTTATTTCAGACTTCCAACTTCTTTAACTGATAATCAAATTTAGTTCATGGTGCTCTGTTAAAGAACTAAGATGGGTATATTATGAAAAGTCTCCCTTTTAACTCCAGTGCCTAATTAGTTTTCTCCTCTAAAGGTTTAAAAGATTATTTATATTACAAGAAGTATATATTTATGTAAAGTCTTCAGTTCTTAGTGTTTGTGTGTGTGTGTGTGTTTACTAATAACACGTTATGTGAGGTTCAGTACCCCGTTCATTAAATATATCTTATAAACATGCTACACAAAAATATTACTAGGTCTTTTGTATGGCTGGAAGCTATTCCAATGCAGAAATGCATTATAATAGGTTATAATCTATAGTTCTCCTCAGAGTCATTTAAAAAATTTTCCTCTTTTGCAATGAAATTAGGATAAACAGTCCTATATACATTCCATTTCTATATTATTCATGTAGGCTGATACTGTTATTTTAGATATTCCATGACATGACTGGTCAAAAATAGCTGAAAAAAATCTACCTTTGTTTCCATGTTGAGGAGATGAAGCCCTTTTATATTCACTCCTACATACACAGGGATTACTTTATGATTGCTGGGGCTTGCCTTGGTAAATATCTGTCCTGTGAAAAAGGCTGCTCCATATGTAGGAATTTCCCAACAATTCTGTAAGAACATGCGTTGCAGGTGATGCATTTCTTTACTGACACCCTCACTTGTACTTAGATTCTGAAAACAAATAAGGCAAAATAAAAATAAAAGAACTGAAAGGACAATTATACCTTTGGTCATCCAAATTAGGTCAACTAAGTGAATTCTAAAAATAAGGTTATCTTTAAAGAATGAAATTATGGCACAATATCCCAACAGTATTTTCTTATTTCCTTTTTGCGACACAGGGGATGGAACCCAGAGCTTCAAGCTTACTAGGAAAGTGCTCTACCACTTAAGTCACATCTCTAGCCCTATATTTTTCAGGCAGGGACTCCTACTTTGGTCCAGAGCTGCCTCAAATTGAGATACTCTTACCTATACCTCCTTTGTAGCTGGGATCATAGGTATGTAGAGCCACATCAAAGTTGTTATTCGAGAAAGGATCTTGCTGTTTTGCTCTGGGCTGTCTTTGAACTAAGATCCTCCTAACTTGCCTCCTGGGAGTGTGTGTGTGTGTGTGCCTCCTGGGAGTGTGTGTGTGTGTGTGCCTCCTGGGAGTGTGTGTGTGCCTCCTGGGAGTGTGTGTGTGCCTCCTGGGAGTGTGTGTGTGTGTCTTTGAACTAAGATCCTCCTAACTTGCCTCCTGGGATTTTGTGTGTGTGTGTGTGTTCATAGCAACCCAAGGGATTGTGTGTGTGTGTATGTGTGTGTTCATAGCAACCCAAAGCATTTCTATGTTTGTGAGATATTTCAAAAAGAAAATTGAGGTCTAAAACTATTATGTCTATTTTATTAGATTTTAAGTGTCTCATGATCAGGGATAGTATTATTTCAAATTTTCATCTCTCAGCCCTTATGACAGTTTTTTATTATATAGAAGACATTCGGTAAAGGATTCCACATTACAATGGGTTGTCAGTACTCATATATGTCATCCTACTACTCAAGAGACTGAAGGGCTGGGAAGGTGGCTCAGTGGTACAGTGCTTGCCTTGCATGCATGATGAGGTCCTGGGTAAATTCCTCAGCACCACATAAGCAGAAAAGTCAGAAGTGGTGCTGTGGCTCAAGTGGTAGAGCGCTAGCCTTGAGCTGAAGAGCTGAGGGACAGCACCCAGGCCCAGAGTTCAGGCCCCATTACCAAAAAAAAAACAAAAACAAAAAACAAAACTCAAGAGACTGAAATCTGGAGGATCCAAGTTTAAGGTTGCTCTGAACAAAAAGACAATGAAACTCCAATTCCAATTAGCCAGCAGAAAGCCAATCTCTAAGCTGGAGATGTAGTTCACAGGGTACAATGCTACCATGAGCAAAAAAGTCAGTAAGAGAGTGGTGATGGCGGGATTCTCTAGTCCTAATAAAAATATTTATTACTTTCAGTTTCAGTCATTGCAAAGTAGAAAATCTAATTTTAATTTCAGGACTATGAATTTAATGTACCCACGTTTACAACATTCATAATACTAAGCCAAGCATAGTGGCTTAAACTTGTAATGACAATTACTAGGGAAGCTGACAATAAGGATCATGGTTTGAGGTCAGTCTGGTCAAAAAAATCTACAAAAGACCCCTATCTTAACCAGTGCACATAGTGATGCATACCTGCCATCCCAGGTAAATAGGAAGAATAACATAGGAAGATCCTGGTCCAAGACAGCTTGATCAAAAAGCAAGACTATTTGAAAGGTAACTAAAGCAAAAAAAGGTTGAGGTGTGGCTCAAGTGGTAAGCTGACTGCCTACCAAACATGATGCCCTGAGTTCAAATTCTAGTACCTAAAAAATATAATAATAATAGCACTAAAAATATAAATTAGGTCCTAACAATGTCTTTAGTTCATTGAACTGCTTACCTTATACTCATGAAGAATTCGATTTGTCCAGTGAGGTGCCTTACTTTTCAGTTTGGTAACTGGTACAATGGATTTCAGATTTTCTTCACTGTAAGCACATATGCCAACATTCTTTAAAGAAGCCATCTTTAGTAGCTAAAGTACAATATTCCTTCTGTCACAAATCATTGTAGGGAACAGAATTTTTAAACTGAAAACACTACTTAAAATATTAGAGAAATTAAAAACTTTTGAGTTAAAAAACAACTACAATCTTAACATTGTCATGGTAGAGAAATATTTTCTTCTTTCATTAATCAGATATAATTTTTGAAGATTGAGAACTACAATAAAGTTTAGATGTGTTAAAATCTGTGTTTTTTCTCATTCTATTATTTAGTGAGATTCTTAAGTATGTGCCTTACAAAAATTTTATAGTTTTTCTTTTACTTAATCAAGATTTAAGAATCAAATTTATTAAACTACATTAAACATCCTCTAAAGAAATACAAATTATAGAAAAAGAGATGAAGTATATTAGACTTAATAAGAAAAAGAACTTTGGAAAAAAACTTTTAAGAATGCTTTATTGTATTTTTTTTAAAATCTCATTCTATGCCTTGTATTTTTTGCAAACCAATGTCCAAAAAAAGATTCTTTTTTTGTTCAGACACACAGGGTCTTGCTATGCAGCCCCGTAGGCTAGCCCCAAACATGGCATCCTCATGTACCAACATCCTTGGCTACCAATATAAAAATATTCTATAACAATATTTTAAAACTTTCTGGGTAAATTTTGAACATAGCACAAGATCATGCATTGTACTAAATACTTACTTTAGGAAACCTTGTTTATGTTTCTTACTCTCATAATTTCCATAAACTATTTGCAACAAGAGACTTGCCAAAGTTATCAGTTTAGCATCAGGAGCTGTATAAAAGCCCTTCAGTAAATTGTATCTGGCTTCATCAAAGAGAATAAGAATTGCTAGTGGGTCTTCAATCTTAAAAAGAAAAGTATAATTCTGTTATTAGGCTATAATTTCTTTTTTAAATAGCAGTAGCTACATATTTGTATATAAATGAGCTATTATTACTTTTTAAAAATTTTATTTAATTGTAAAGATACCGTACAGAAGGGTTACAATTATATAAGTAAGGAAATTAGTACATTTCTTGTCGAGCACTATTATTACCCCCTCCCTTGTAATGTTCTCCCACTATCCTTTCCCTTCTCCTCCCCCCTCCCCCCACTATCAATATTTGATGCAGAAGTTGCCAAAATTTTCAGTAAAATTTTAAGCTTGTGAACCATATAGTTCCTGTTGCCAACTACTCAAGTCTGCCATTACAGGACAAAAGCAGCTATAAGTAACACAAATTTGTGTTGCAATGTTCTAATATGACTTTTTGTACAGATACTAAAATTCAAATCGTTCTACAGTGCTTTATATTTTTGGTGTACGAGGTCTTGAAATTCTTGTTAAATTTTTTCCTGATATTTTGTTTTAGGTATTATTTTAATGGGTTTCTCAATTTCCTTCTTGGATTATCCATTACTGGGTATATAAAAATACAATGATTGTGTGTGTGTGTGTGTGTGTGTAAACTTGTACCCTGGTTACCTCAAATTAATTTACTAGCTTCCATAGCTGTCTTCTAGATTCTTTGGAATTTCTTGTCTTCTAGATTCTTTGGAATTTCTACCATTTCTTTTTCTTGTCTACCATAACTTTTTCTTGTCTGCTTAATCCTCCCAGGACATAAATTCCAGTGGTACACACAAGCATCCTTATCTTCCTTCTGATCTTAGGAAGAGATTTTCAGTGTTTTACCTTGAGTATATTAGCTGTGGGTTTTTCATAAACCCACATGCTGAAGAGGTTCCCCTACCATTCCCAGTTTCCTGAGTTTCTATTGTGAAAGGATGTTGGATTTTACCAAATGTCTTTTGAGTTGAGAAGACTGTATGTGTTTGTCTTATTCTGTTAATATGGTTCTAACACATAATAATCAATACTTTAGTTTTTGGTAAACATACAAATTTTTATGTAACTCCAAGTGTATTTGGCTGAGAGGATCAAAGCTACTTTTGATCTGATAATACAAAGACAATATAAATACAAGGGCTGATGGAGGCAGCCCAAATTATAGTGTTTGATTAGCAAGCAAGGTCCTGAGTTCAATCCCAGTATTACAAAAATAAATAAACTTCAAAAAAAATAAATGAAGACAATATAAACAGACAAAATTCTTATCAAGTTTGGACTTGGATGCTAAATTTTTTTTTTTTTTTTTTGGGTCCGGTTGTGGGGCCTGCACTCTGGGCCTGGGCGCTGTCCCTCAGCTCTTCAGCTCAAGGCTAGCGCTCTACCACTTGAGCCACAGCGCCACTTTCGGCTTTTTTCTTTTTGCTTATGTGGTGCTGAGGAATCGAACCCAGGGCTTCGGGCTGCAAGGCAAGCGCTCTACCACTGAGCCAACTTCCCAGCCCTGGATGCTAAAATTTTTATGTTCTGAAATTTGCTTAGTCTTGCCTACTTAAATTCCTTTGATTAAATCATGAAAAGCATTTTTTTCTTCAGTAATATTGTGAAGCCTCTCAACTATTTCCTAATGTTTAATTTTCACAGATACTACAGTATGTAGATAGATGGTTATCCCTACTTAGGTTTCCCTTGTGTACATGTATCCTTCTTATTAAAATCAACAGTAGTTCAAATCCAAACATAACTGTTTGGAACAGATCTATCTATCAAATGTAAATTCTGTCCTTTTTTTTTCACTATGTAGTTCTCTGCTACATACTGTTTAGAATCACTTCATATTCCCTTTGCAAATATATTCTCCATTCAGAAGGTATTTTTCTGTTCTCTCCCTCACTTCCTGTGAAATTTTTTACACAAATGACAAAAAAATGAAAAAAAAAAAAAGAGTTCCAAGCAAACCTTTTTTTCAACTTCTAGAGGAAGTCTCACATCTCTTCTCAGGAAAAGCTGTGGTGTTTCTCTTTGGGGATCCAAATTAGTCAATTCGGCAAGTATTTCTGGCCAGTCACGAACATGTTGCAAGGGTTTATGATAAGGCTTGAGCTGAAGGCCTAAAAAACATCTTTTCTTTTATAAATGTTAATGTGAAAATATTCAATTATATCAGTATGTTGCATTGAACTATTTATGCTTAAGTACTGAACAAATTCAAATTAAAGGTCTAAATTTAAATCAGTATTTAATCATTATTAAATTCTGAGCAACCACTTGTTTTGAAAAATTTGAAGAATAATACATGGGCCAGGTGCCTATGGTTCACACTTGCAATCCCAAATAATTGGGAAGATGGAAGATCTGGATCCAAGCCAGCCAGGTATAAACACAAGACCCTATTTAAATGAATAGCTAAATGCACTGGTTCATGCATGCCACTGTAGCTATGAGGGAAACATAAATAGATAGGTAAGTCCAAGACTGTTCATGGCCGATGTGGTTGAGTGCCTGACAGCCAAGTGCAAGGCCCTGAAGAAGGAAGGAAGGAAGGGAGGAAGGGAGGAAGGGAGGAAGGGAAGAAGGAAGGGAGGAAGGAAGGAAAGAAGGAAGGAAGGAAGGAAGGAAGGAAGGAAGGAAGGAAGGACAATTCTTGGGCTGTGGATACAGCTTAATGGTAGGATGCTTCCTTAGCAAGTGTGAGAGTTTAACCCTAGCACTGAATAAAGAAGTTTTTTCAGTGAAGGAGTTATGAAAGGGGTGATATTAACCAAGATGCATTGTATGCATAAACTGATAAGCTTAATTGAAACCTTTTTGTAAAACTTCTTAAAGGTAATAAAGTTACAGAATATATCATAAAATTTATCAAATGTGCATGAAATTGTTTCATTACAGCTTAATTATGAAATAATCAGTATAATCTGGTGTTAAAGGTATATTTAAAGTATTAGAAACCAATAACATCCCTAATGAAATTCTAATATATTTGCAGTACTTTTAAGGAAGAATCAATCTATAATGATACTAGGGCGATTTTAAACAAAAATATTTGATAAGACAAATGCAAAGAAAGAGAAGACTTGTATTATATTGAGATGAGTACTGAAAATAAAGACAAGTTGTGTGAGCACTACAGTCAATGTTATTTAAATCAAGGGCACGGCTAGAGAAGGATAGCTTCATTTTTTTACTAACTCACAAGATGCTTTGAATGAATTGTGAGGGTCTTAGGTCAGAACCTTTTGCAGGAGTTTGAACACTAGTAATTTATATAAAAAAGAATCCTATATTATTTCAATTTTGAAATATTGACTGTTAAACTGACATGTATGAATCTACTCCCCCAAGTTTAAACTTTTAAGTTTAAATAACAAAGTAAACTTTCTTACTAAGGTTTTCTGAACAGATCCATATAGTGAAATACTGCTGCGTTTCTTGAGATAGACGCATTCCTTCCATTATCTGCTGCACTGTGGTATTATTTCCATGCCTCAGTTCAACAGAACGGTATGATCCATCCATCCTATATATTCGAACTTTTTCATACTAGGACAAAAAATGATACTATGCAACTAACTTAAAAATTACATTATCAAAATCTAACAAATATTTTCAACTTATTTTATATTATAAATCTTTATTTTTTTGCTCGGTTATAAGATTTGAATTTGGGGCCTGGGTGCTATCCCTGAGCTCTTTTGCTTAAGGCTAATGCTCTACCACTTTGAGCCACAGTGCTGCTTCCAGTTTTCTGGTGGTTAATTGGAGTTAAGAGTTACAGACTTTCTTGCCCCAGCTGGCTTTGAACCATGATCCTCAGATCTCAGCTTCCTGAGTAGCTAAGATTACAGTTATGAGCCACTGGTGCCCAGTTATCGCATAAATCTTTAACATAGAAAATTGCTTCAAGTGAGAACTTGACTCTATTTGAAAAGCTCTTCACAAGCATCTTCTGAATGTTCTATAGTGAAACAAGTTTGTGAAACAAGAAAAATGGCTTTATAAAAACTACTGAATGCTGGGCTGGGAAAGTGGCTCAGTGGTAGAGTGCTTGCTTTGCATGCATGAGGCCCTGGGTTCAATTCCTCAGCACCACATAAACAGAAAAGGCCAGAAGTGGCACTGTGGCTCAAGTGGTAGAGCGCTAGCCTTGAGCTGAAGAGCTGAGGGACAGTGCCCAGACCCAGAGTTCAAGCCCCATGACTGACAAAAACAAAGCAAAACAAGAGAAAAAACTACTGAATGTTGCCAGGTATAATAGTCTATCAACTGATAGATGTATGTATGATATCTATGTCTACAGATATCTATAGATAATAGATACAGTCATTTTCAATATAGTCATTTTCAACATTTAATGTTGTTAAACTACCATATAGTCAATAGTTTATGTTAAAAGGCTTAGGCACATGAATTAAATCTACGAAATTTTCATAATTTATTTGATGACAAAAAATTTTCCATCTTTTATTTATTTTTGGTGGTAGACTAGTACTCACTAGGCTAGCACTCTATTATGTAATCACATTCCCAGCCCTCTGAATTTCTTCTCATTGTTACTTCTCTATCTTAAAGTCATGTTGTCACTTAAATTTTACTGTGTGTGTATGTGTATGTGTATATGTATGTGCACGTTGGTCGTGGGGCCTGAACTCTGGGCCTGGGCACTGTCCCTCAGCTCTTCATCTCAAGGCTAGCGCTCTACCACTTGAGCCGCAGCACCACATCTGGCTTTTTCTGCTTATGTGGTGATGAGGAATCGCACCCAGGGCCTCATGCATGCAAGGCAAGCACTCTACCAGAGCCATCTTCCCCGCCCAATTTTTACTCTTTTTAATTGACAATGGTTTTTAACAGCTGTGTATGACCAGGATTGTATTTATTGAATGTAATTAGATAGAAAACTCAAGATGAATAAGCAGAACAAAAGACCTATATTTATTTTACTTTTGTGAGTAGAAAAATGAGTTTGTTATATACACACTAATTTGTTCAGACTAAATTAATGATTGATATACAATACAAATGTTTCTTAGGAGGCCTAAGTAGGATTTACTTCAACTAAAAGATCAGAATTATTTGTATACAATATATCAAGTACAGTCAAGTTGTCTACTAACATTTTGGGCTATGAGAAAATTACATTTATAATGACACCACATATTTGATAGCATATCAGACCATATGGCCTAGGAATGTTATAATAGACTATGTTGTGTTAGTGTTTTTTTTGGGGGGGGCCGGTCATGGGGCCTGAACTCTGGGCCTGGGCGCTGTCCCTAGCTCTTCAGCTCAAGGCTAGCACTCTACCACTTGAGCCACAGCACCACTTCCGGCTTTTTTCTTTTTGCTTATGTGGTGGTAAGGAATCGAACCCAGGGCCTCATGCATGCAAGGCAAGCGCTCTACCACTGAGCCACCTTCCCAGCCCCATATTATAGTCTATGTTGTTTGGCATGTGTAAATATACTCTATGATGTTTGCACAATGATGAAATTGCCTAATGAAGCATTTATCAAAATATATCCCTGGAGTTAAGTGATACATGGGTATTTCCCAGACCCGAAATTAGTTGTCAGTATACTAAAAGTTTTCTTACCTTTTTCTTATCTTTTCAAATTTTATTTCATTATGCAAAATAAATGTCTGAATATCAGGAATGCTACAAATCCAACAGACATCTATTCTAACAATGAGTCATTATATTAGTACAGAAGCCATCTCCCCATTGCTCCATTCACTCTTACAGAGATCCTCAAATTACCTATAATTGTAACTATTTATGAAGATAATGCTTACTGGTTTATTAATGGCTTCCTTCAATAATTTGGCTGCTTCTTCCCAATTATTTTGTTTGTTTTCTTCACAAATATTTAATGGGGATCTTCCTTGTTGGTCTGTTATGTGCTAGAAATGGGGGTAGATGGAGAGAGAAAGACATCTCAAATACATGGTATTCCAAACCTTGTACTCACTAGGCTAGCACTCCATCACTTAGCCCTCTGAGTTTCTTCTAATTATTACTTCTATCTTAATATCTAAGCAAAAATGTTAAGTACTTAGTAATTCTTGTTAAATATTAAGTAAATACTAAGAACTGCCATATAGAAAAGACTCAAGGCATGGATCAGTGGTATTATCTTTGAACATTCTGAATAAATGTAACAAAGGTTTTGTTAATGGCTTAATTTTCCCTTTATGAAATTGTTAGTACAAACTCTAGAAAACAGGTATAAAGTCTTTCTTTTTTAAACACACTTTTTGAAGATATTCAATGTAAAATGAATTTTATCTAGATTCTCAAGAGGGATGATGGTAATGATTGCACAACAATGTGAATGGACTTTTTATTTTATTACAATAAGAAGGATTTTGAAAAGTGCAGCTTATATAAATATTACTCATTCTATAAAGTGAACTTGTCATTTTTTTCAGCTTAACACTCAATTGTACAATTCAACACTTTAGTATCATTACTTATTAGTCAATGCTTAAATATAATCAAAGCAAAATGAATTTATAAAATAACTTACTCTGTCGACTTCTGGATGGTTTAGGAGAATCTGAACTATTTCAGCATGTCCTCCTCCAGCAGCAAAGTGAAGAGGAGAACTTAGCTGTCCATTTAAAAGGTTTGGATTGCACTTTCCTTTCTCTAGTAATATGCGAGTGGCCTCAACTTTTCCATACCTATAAAAAAAATAAGACTTACCTAAAAAATGGCATCTGAAATACTTAAAAATTTCAAAATTTAAATGATCCCTCAAAGAAATATAAACACATAAGACTAAGATATTGACATAAATAATATATATTCAAACATATATTATTCTTGCTCAAGTCAACTGTTTCTATTCAAATCAACTGAGAAAAAACCTCAAGTAGGAGAAAATAAATGGCATAGAAATACCCATACAAAGTACAATAGTTATGGAGTTAGAATTTTTAGTAAAATAAAATAGATTCAAAGGGTGTGGATTAGTGATAGACACAGCATGAATGAGAAACTTACCACATCCAAATGATGTACAAACTAAGCCCGAAGATAATTCTACTTTTAGTTTCAATTACGCAATGTAGAATACTTAAAAATCTATATATAAAGACCTGTGGCTCTGAAGGAATATATGATTTAGTATAATATAAAAATATGGCAAATACTAGATATACTCCACAAAAACAAAATCTCTTTGTGATATTAAAAGGGGAAGGGCTCATGAGACTAAAACTCTAAAGTTCTTAAATCTGAGATCAAGAAGTTTATATAAAACGTATTTCCTAACTTTATAAAGATAAGAACAAACCTCAGTTTCTAAACTGAGATGGTCCAGTATACTTTACTCAATCTTGGTACCAATTAGTGAATGAGTACATTTCCAAAAGTAAGATTTTAGCAAATATTTAAGCCAGTCTTTTTAATTTTTTTCTTTCTGATCCATACTACTATTTGTGTATTAAACTTGACTATTACTTCTAGCTGATAAAATAGTAATTTTTATCAAGAGATAGAATCCTTTCTCTTGGTTTACTCTACTAACAATCAGTTGTAATTAAAAATAAGATAGATTAATAAATTTCAGATTTAGCCATCAAAAACCTGAATTTATTTTTTCTCTTTTTCTTTCTCCCAGTCCTTGTATTTGTTTTAAAAGGCAAGATTTATTGAGTTCTTATTATGTACTTTCAAAGTACCTTATTTGTATTTTTTTTTTCCCCTAGGGAAAGTACCCTTTTATCCTTTTTAAAAACTTGTTCCAGTACTGGAGCTCGAATCACTTGGCTTTTTCTCTCAAGGTTAATACTCTCATTTGAGCTATACCTCCACTTTCAACTTCTTGCTGATTAATAGGAGAGAAGAGTCACACAACTTTTCTGCCTGGGCTAATTTTAAACTTTGATCCTTAGATCTCAGCCTCTAGAGTAGTAGGTAGGACTATAGGTGAGAGTCACTTGCAAAAGAAGCAAGTGCTAATATAGGATAGATGTGTTGACACACACCTGTAGTTCCAGTAATCTGAGAGAGAGAGATCAGGAAGATCATGGTTCACGGCTAAGTAGGCAAAAATTTAGTGAGAGCCTTCCATTTCAACCAACAAGCCACAGTGATATGCAACTGTGATACCAGCTACATGGGAGGCATATGTAAGAGGATCTTGGTTTAAGGTCAACTCTGGGCAAAAAGTGGACTGAATCTGAAAAATAACTAAAGCTAAAAATGTCTAGGGCTAGAGCATGTGCTTAGCACAACTCAGGCCCTGAGTTTAGGCCTAGTAATGCCAAAATAAAGTCTATCTTGAAGATAAGCAAAAAGTCTTAAAGATATTAAGAAACTTGCCAATAGTTACAGTTTAAGAAACTAGCCACTGGGACTGAAAGCGCGAGGTATATTCCAATGTATATTAAATACTATACTTTTGTTTTCATTTAAATAAGTAATTGAAACTATTACCACTCTTTTATAAGAGCAAATAACCACCTGCTACAAAGACACCAACAATATAGCTGAAAGTATATTTGGAATTCCTAAACTAAAATATACTACCTATGTAGTATATTGCTAATGTAATTATTTGGGGGGGGGGGAACTGAACTATATTTCACTTCTTGTGCTTAGCTCTAATGTATTCAGTCTCATTTATAATTGTTTCTATCACTAGTTATTTATTTGTAATCTGAACAAAAAACTACTAGATCAGCTAAAAACCATTTAGCCTGACGGCTTTTAAATCTAAATCTAAAAATTCCCTATAATGGGAAACATTAAAGAAACAGAAGAAAACATGTATGTTAAAAGCAACTATTTAGCTACTTAATTAAAAATATTAGAATCTGAGAAATAAATGTATTTTGAATTGGAAATAACTAGAAATGGTCTAATATTACTTTTTTTTTAAATTTTTTGCATTGCTGCTCATAGAACACATCTTAGCATATGCTAGGTAAGTGCTCTCTAAACTACACTGCAGTCTTAATGAATTTTAAATAGGAGTAAATAAACAGATGCAGAAAGGCAAAGTTCTTTTCTCAGTGTGATACAGTCAATACCTAAGAAAATTATATAGTACTTCTGAAATATGCAAAAAAATTGTAAAAAAGGATGATGTCCTTTTGAGACAAAAGAGCCATAGTATTCAGTTAATTACTGCCATGGCTAAGAAATCAATTCATCTAAGAAACTTTATTATTGTATGAGAAGAGTAGGTGAACAAGAACTACTGGGCAACTAGTCGAAAAAGTTCATCTCAATTTTGTTCCAACCCTAATATCTAAAAAGATGGAGGATTGATCTTAAGAAGGCTTTTGGAGGTTTCTTGATACCACAGCATCCCAAAGAACTCAAATAATACTTTTTAAATATGATACCAAGATCAAACCAAAAGTAATTAACACATGTAAATGTTTTATAGTTAAGGATAATCTCCATACAAAACAACAATAATGGCATTGACTAGTCATTATGTTACTCATGACTTGACAATAGCTAAGAATACTTGCAGGGCAGAACTTGTAATTATGAACAGTGGCATATACACAGTAATAAGATCAGAGAAGGCTCAGAATTTGAACACTGAAAGTGTCTGGCATGAGAACAGTTGTTGTTTTTTATTTTTTATTTTGTATGTGTGTGTGATAAACACTAATATTCAATAGCTGAAAATTTATTTTGTATATAAAGAAAAAGTAATCTATTTACCAGCATGCATAATGAATAGGTGCCCAGTGGTCACTGTCTAATTGGTTGACGGAAAATCTCTCATTAAGAAGACGACTTAGTAATTCTGAATCTCCTTCACAGGCACTTCGATGGAGAGGAAAATCATCTACCCATTGTCGTTCTCTAATCATTAAAAAGAAATTAAAAAACAGAAACACTGTTGAAATTCAAATTGTTTCAAAGCAAATATGATATATCTGTGAAAGCTACAAAACCCTAAGCCACTCATAAGCTAGTGATTAGACTGTATATTTACTACACAATTAATTTCAAACATTTAACATTACAATGCATTTTTAAAAAAGGCAATATATAGTAAAACCAAACAGTACTTGTCTTCTGTGACACTGCTCATGCTTCTCTGCCACTTTTCCTGTTTGGGTATTTGTATTTTTGAGTAGTCTGGAGCTCCAAGGCCAAAGTATGGATTTATTACCACTTTATCTACCTAGAAAGGGAAAATGAAATAGAAACAAAAACCATTTAAGAGTTTTAAACTTTTGATGTGTGTGTGTGCGCACACACATATATGTATGTAAATGGAGCCTGGATAATACCTTAATGTTTACAATAATTCATGTATTTATCTCAGGGAAAAAAATTACAACTGAACTGCAATGTCTCTTGAAACCAGAACCAAAATACAACTCTTACCCGGTTTGTATACTGAAGATCTGATCCAAATAAAGGGTTGTAAACACAAGTATCTGCTTTCTCTAGTGCTAACATTTTACTCTTTATTTCCAGTGCGCTATAGCCCATATGTAGTGAGTTTTCTGTTTGACCTGATTCAGTAGCATATGCAGGGTTTATAACATTAGTTTTTATTCGCTCAAGGGGAGAAGGTCGGAATAAAGCTGGAATAAAGTGAGATTGTGCGTGACGTTCATCCAACCACCTGGCACAAATAGGAAAAAAGGAAGTAGAAATGCCTGCTCAAAAATGAAGATGAAAAAACAAACAAAAAAACCAGACTTACTCAGATAAGTGATACTTTCTAAGATTATATTCAGATTTTTATAATTTTAATTAGTGTTTACTTGTTAACAGTTCTGTCAAGTGACCTAGCAAGCAATTTTTCTAAAATGTATATATGCTATTGTCATAAAAAACTTCCTTAAAAATATTAAGTACTTTTAAAATTTCAACCACTGAAATGTAGTGATATTAATCCTATTGTTACAGAAAAATAAAGGCAAGAGAGGTTAAGTGACTTATCACTGAGAAGAGTACTTAAACTAGATTTATAACAGAAGAATCTTAATTTGTAAGCCTGGGCAGTGTTGTTACTCTTGTTACTCTTAAAGGACAGAGTTAACATGATATAAGTTGACCAGACAGGTCTCTCTTAGGGTTTTCCATTTTTATATAATTGAAAAACATACCATTTGTCAGTAAAGTATGAATTTTCATTACTTTCTTCTAAAAATGTCTATCAAACTAATCCTCCCTCTGAAGATATATCTGATGAATAAAAAAATAATAGTAATTCTTACTTGTCCAAGGCTATTAGCATCCTTGCTGTAAGTGTTGCAAAGTGAGTACTGGACTCACTACACACTCTCATAATATCTTGTAAGCAGTAAAAAATTGGGCATCCCGGTGTGTATGTATACTTAGTATTATCTGAAAAAGAAAAAGTGAAGAATGATGCCAACATATAAAAAGCTCATAACAACATTTTCATTTAAAAATGCAAAGTTTAAAAAACAAATCTTGTAGGGCTGGGAAGTTGGCTCAGTGGTAGAGCGCTTGCCTTGCATGCCTGAGGCCCTGGGTTCGATTCCTCAGCACCACATAAGTGAAAAAGAAAAAACCCGGAAGTGGCGCTGTGACTCAAGTGGTAGAGCGCTAGCCTTGAGCTAAAGAGCTGAGGGACAGCACCCAGGCCCGGAGTTCAGGCCCCACGACCGGACCCAAAAAAAAAAGAAAAAAAAAAATCTTGTAGAGCCAGGTGCTTGTGGCTTATGCCTATAATTCTACTACTCAGGAGGCTGAGATCTTAGGATCCAGGTATGAAACCAGCCTGTACAGGAAAAAACAAATGCCAAAAGTGGAGCTGTGGTTCAAGTGGTTAGAACACTCCCCTTCAGCAAAACAGCTCAGGGACAGCACACAGGTCCTGAGTTCAAGCCTGAGGACTAGTGCATGCGCACACACACACCCCTGCACCCACACAGACATCTTGCTTTCTCTTCTTCAACCATGTTGTAAAACATAATAATATTTCCACCACTATTTAAAATGTTCAACCTTTAATTTGAGAATACTTGGGAAAATGTATTTGGAATCCAGAGCTGGCTAATTAAATACTGTCTAGTTAAATACAAGTACTGTGATACAGCAGGTCAATGGAATATCTGTGGTGGGTCATTAACATTTCATCTTACCTGAGGCAAGTAATGTTTAGATTTTAGTGATTTGACATTCAACACCTCAATAAATCCTTCCTGAATATCAATAAAGTATGGGTAGATAGCAATATTATTTCTATTTTACAAACGAAGAGTAAACTAAGGAATAATTTGTACAACGTCATTTTTTTTTTTTGTGCCAGTACTGGGGTTTGAGCTCATAGCCTGCACACTGTCCCTTAGCTTATTTGCTCAAGATTGTTGCACTGCTACTTGAGCCACAGTGCTACTTTCAGCTGTTTTGGCTGGTTAATTGGAGATAAGAGTCTTATGCACTTTCCTGCCTAAACTGACCTTGAATTGTGATCCTCAGATCTCAGCCTCCTGACTAACTAGGATTACAGGCATGAGCCACTGGCACCTGTCTTGCAAAGTCACAAAATGAGCCATAAGGTCTGCACTGAAACACCAAATGTTTTCTATTTTTAAGGATGCCCAAAGTTCAAATTAGACTTTCATAGTAGATCTATGGTCAATAAGAATTGCCAACCAAACTACTGGCTGGGAGGCTTTAGAAACTATTGACATTTTCTCCTCTCCAATCTAACATAGGCTTTAGTCATAATGTTGTTTTTCTAGAATACTTAAGTATTTATTTCTGTTCTATCTATAGCACATCCTTTGACAAGTCTTTTAAGAAAACCTGAATATTTTAAATTTCAACAATTATTTTCTCCCTCATTTCTGCATCCTGATTTAAAATGAAAACATTTCTGTTCAGCTAACATGCCTACAAATTACAGTAAAACAAATATTTTGAATAAGTAACAAACTCTTCTATTAAAGTAAAACCATGTATTTTACAATACTAGTATAGTAACTATAAATGCAAATTTCTAAGTTCCCCAATAGACTTTCAATTACATCTTATGTACATAAAAACTCACAAAAAAAATTTAGACTTTACCTTTGACAACTGATGGAACTATAAATAATGCTGCTTCTCTGCCCATCTTCTCTCCATCTAAAGGAAATCTCTTCATTAGTACCACTCGTTTTCCTAATCATTAACAAAAAATCAGCAACGATTAAAAAAAATTAACTTTCATTTATTTTGTTGAGACAAGAATATAACCAAACGTATTATTTTACATACTTAATATGTGTTAATAAATACTATAATAAAATAAATACGAAAATACTGTAATCAAGTTACTTTTTTCAATAATAGAGCTTTGACTGTAGCTTAGAAATGTTCTGAGTCTTTTGGCAACTTTCAAAAATATAAAGTAACCTAAAAGGAAATCGACCTTTTCTTTTTTTTTTTTTGTCCATTGTGGGATTTGAACTCTGGGCCTGTGCACTGTCCCTGAGCTCTTCAGCTCAAGATTAGTGCTATACTACTTAGCCACAGTGCCACTTCTGGCTTTATCTATTTATGTGGTGCTGAGGAATTGAACCCAGCTCATGCATTTGAAACAAGCAGTATACCACTGAGCCACCTTCCCAGCCCCAGAAATTGACCTTAAGATTTAAAAATACCTTTCTTTACATGTATTTTTTTTTTTTGGTTGTGGGGCCTGAAACTCTGGGCTTGGGCGCTATCCCTGCGGTCTTCAGCTCAAGGCTAGCGCTCTACTGCTTGAGTCACAGCACCAGTTCCCATTTTCTAGTGGTTTATTGGAGATAAGAGTCTCATGGACTTTCCTGCCCGGGCTGGCTTTGAACTGTGATCCTCAGATCTCAGCTTCCTGAGTAGCTAGAATTATAGGCATGAGCCACCAGAGCCCAGCTTCCTCACATGTATTTAAAGCGATGTATTGACAAAAGAAAAAAAAGGGAAAGAAGAAAAATAAAGGAAATTTTCCTACCTCTGATACCCTGGTTTGCTGGAGAAATTGGTTTGGTGGTTTCTACTACATAATCCAATATGCCTTGTGTTATTTCACTGTTGGCTTGAAGTTTTGTTTCCAACAAAACTTTCTTTCTCTTTTTCTTCTGTCCTTCAATAGGAACTTCATGCAATAAAATCTTAGATGAGAAGTATAACATTAAAGAAGTTTAAAATAAAATGCATTTGAAGTATAATACTATGATCAGCTGACAGCCTTCTTATAATTAGCTGCATATTAGAATAACTTAAAAGGTTTTAAAATAATACTCAGCCCCATCTCTACACCAATTAAGTCAGAATGTTTGGGGAGGTTCCTAGTACTGGCAGTTTAAAAATATTCTCCAGAAGAGTATTAATGCAGTAAACCAGAGCAATTTAAATAAAATGCTAGAGAAATTAGGTTATAAGGATTTCATACAGCTTAAAATCCATTGCATATAATGGATATAATTCCATGGTTACTAATATATGTAATTCAAGACTCAGATAAATATAACTTGATTTCCTAAACTTACTTTAAAATGAGTTGTCAAAAATAATTTAAGCATAGCTAAGATTAATATTTGTATTAAATTTTTTCAGTACTGTTTTTTTCCAATAGCTTTTAATTTTTGAGAATTATTCTGTTATACAAAAATCTAAGTGCATAAACTGTAAAAATCTTTCATAATCTAATAATTTGTCATAATCTAATAAACCACAATGTCAAACAGCAAATAGTCAAAAGATATGCAGCAGAAAAAAAGGATAGCAATGGGTGAAAATGTGGCTAACCAGCTTATCAATATTAGAATACAGCATTATAAGGGCTATATGTAAATGGTAGTGTAGAATGATATTTAATATTAGAAAGCAAATAGAAAGTCTATGTTCTCACTTCATAGGACTTAGCTCTGTATTCCCGAGAGTTGAGACTGGCAGCATTCTTTGGGCGAATAACAGCAACATATGCATCTTCTATGTTTTCTGGATTTCCCATTGCTTTTTAAGACAAAATGTTCCTTGGGAGATTAAATAATACAATTGGTGGCTAAGTAAAAAAAAACAAACAACTTTAATAGTACTTTTTTTCATCTTAATCTGATAACCTTTACTTCCATATAATCCTTTGAAAAACAATTAAAATAAAATGATTTAAAACATATTTTTTTTTTAGTTTCGTGCCAGTCCTGGGGATTAAGCTCCACGCCTGGCTGGGTGCTGTCCCTGAGCTGCTTTTGCTCAAGACTAGCACTTTACCACTTTGAGCCACAGTTCCACTTCTGGCTTTTTTGATAGTTTAGTGGAGATATGAGTGTCACATATTTTCCAGTCTGGTCTGGCTTCAACCCACTATTCTCATATTTCAGCATTATTATTAGTTAGAAATACAGGCATGAGCCATTGGCACTCAGCCAATGATATTTTAATGTCTTATACAATACCTAAAAGGCAAGCCAGAGAGTATTTTCAACATTGAACTATTACAAATATTAGCTTAAAATCTGAGATTTTCCTTTAATCTCTTCTTACATGTAAAATTCATATTTTCACAAGTGCTCTGTACTGTAAAATCTGACTTTGGGACTTAAAAATTGAAAAGATTATAAAATCTTATCGTTACTTGAAAAAGTTATTAGAAATAATGCATATTTTCCTTGTGTAACACAAGTGAATGTTATATTGGTAAGTTTAGACATATGGATGTCTAATTTTGAACATAGATATCAGCTAACATAGTTTATAATTGTCTTTGTTAGTGCCTATCAAAAACTTTTGGTCAGCTGATAAAAACCTTTCTGATGATGATTTAAAAATCATTTCTAGACTTGACGTGTGACTCAATTGAAAGAGTACCTGTCTACAAAAGATGAGTCTCTGAATCAAACTCCCCAGAATTGTTAATTTGAAAAGTCCAATCCATAGATAATTCACTTTTCCTTCCAAATATACCCACTGTGTATTCTTCCCCTAAACTAATTTTAAATTTCCAGTGTATAATTTCTAACAAATAATTGAATTTTAACTACATTCTTGATTGTTTAATATTCTGAGTTTTAATATTTTGTGGCTAGTCTAAAAACTATCCCTTTATCATATTGTTTTTAAAGGTTCTCCTCAGGTATATACCAGTAATTTCTAAAAGAATATAAAAAAAATTCTTTCCTAGCTCAATTCTTTTAAATCTTATTGGTCATTAAAAATGGTCTGTTAATATTTAACAAGTTCCTTACAACACCAACTCTCAGGATAGAAACAAAAGAGACTATTTTCTAGATAGGGTTTTTAATAATACTTGAATAATAGTTTTGAATAATGCAGTTGTTTTCTCAACTGTAACTGATGAGATTCTAGCATCTTTTATTCACTTAGACAGTAGTTTTAAAGTATATTTTATTAAAGTGAAATCCATTTAAAATCCAGTAACTTCTGGAATTTTAAATAACTATGAGAATTAAGTATAGACTAGTTGAGTAACTGAAGGCTTTCAAATTCTAAAAACTTTCAATGACTTAAATACAAAGAAACTGCAAGTATTTCATTAGAAAAAGTATAGTGAAACTTTAGGATGAAGGTATTTCATTTTGTTTAATGTACTGAGGAACTTATTCATTGTTGTTCTACATCTCAAGGAATTTTTTCAATTCCTTTTTTTCCCATAATTTAAAAAATCTACACCACAGTCAGAATATATATTTTAGCTACTGCTTTCACCTCAGATTAACAATGACTTAAACATAAAGAAAGTACAAATTATGAGACATGTGGATGCCTCCTTAAATACTGAAAGCCTTCTAAAAAAGGATACTGTTGTAGGCAAACACTGTATGTGTATAATGGCACAATTATAGATACGTTCTCTACAAAGAACCTAAAACAAAAACTGAGAAATTCTTGGCTTCCTAAACAGAATTTAAAGCAAATCAATTAGTGTTTTGCTGTTTCTTGCTAAAACATCTATTAACAAAGTTGTTAATGCTCATTAAAAAATGAATTCAATTAAAATAATTACTCTCAAATGAATTCTATCATTATTTTGTTCAAGGATGGCACTCTTACCACTTGAGTCACACACCTCACTCCCAAATGATTTTTAAAATTGATTTTCAATGGGGCTGGGAAGGTGCCTCAGTGGTAGAGTGCTTGCCTTGCATGCATGAGGCCCTGGGTTCGATTCCTCAGAACCATATAAACAGAAAAAGACGGAAGTAGTGCTATGGCTCAAGTGGTAGAGTGCTAGCATTGAGCTGAAGAGCTTGAGGGACAGCGCCCAGGCCAAGAGTTCAGGCCCCACGACCGACAAAAAAAAAAGGGGGGATTTTTCAATAAATGGTCACACTTTACTAGCATTGAAATGAACGAATAAAACAAAGGCTTAAACTGGAACAAAACCCAAAAATAACTTATAAAGGAAAGGCTGTTAAAGGCAGAAACATAAATGCATAGGAAAAAGTGAAATGGGCTAAAAAAATGATATAGCTAGAGGTCGAAATGTCTACAATAAGCGTTTAATAAGAGTTCAAATGTCTGTACTCGGAAAATATGTAGCATTCGGTCATATGGCTTCCTCTCTGGGAGAAAATACTCAGGCATATATGGTAATAAGCTGCTTAAGAAATGAGGCTTTAAAAATAAACCGGTGGAAACGATTCTCAACTGGGAATGGAATCAATCTGGGATCACCTGGAAGTGTTGGGGTGCTTTTGGGGAAAGTGAATGAACAGATGCCATTTTAGTGCCCGCGGGCAGGGTAAAGTCCATTTAGTACGTGAGATGTTTTTTAAGAGTGGGAAAGGAGCTGCGCGGGACTCCCGAGTTGGAATAGCAAGACAAAAGGCTTTTGGTGCAGCTAAACAACACCGTGGAGAAAAAGCGAAGCAAAGAGGTTCTTAAAGGAGGAGAGGGGAAAAAATGTAGAAGGGGACGTGGTCCAGAACGAGCTGGGAATCGGTTTCCCCGCAAGGACAACACTAGTCAACCTGGGAGGAGTTCTCCAGGGGCACCACCCATCAATGTCCACTGCCGGGCAAATTACCAGCTTCTTGGCTACAGAGTTCCCACCCAAGAAAGAGGTGATGCGGGAGGCGGGGGGGGGGGGGGTTCTATGTGAAACAAAGTAAACTCCTTGCCTGGAGAAACTAGATGCGGAGAGGATCCAGTCTCCCCCTTCGGCGTTCGGTCGCTGGATACTGCTCCTCCTCGTTTCCGTCAAGGAAACAGCGGTCTCAGCCCAGCGGGCGGCCGGCCGTCTCCCAGGCCGCTACATTCAGCTCGGGGGGGGGGGGCACCTCAGTTTCCTCACTCCCCCTTCCCTTCTTTCCGGGGCCACGGCCCGGCCCGACTTCCTGTGGCAGGAAGACCCTAGGTCGCCGCCACAAGCCGCCCGGCGTGCGGCGCCGCCGACTCCGCGCCCCGAAAGCGCGGCTCTCTGGAGCTGGAGACCCTCTCGCACACCAACTCTTTATAATGTTTTTCTTTTCCTTTCCTCGCCCTTCCTCCCGTCTCAGCAACAGTCAGCCTTCACCTTCTCCAAAGCTAAGAGGTCTCGCCTCTCCAAAGGCCTTCACTTTCCATCCCACCGCTACCCGGGAAAGGAAATCGCTTCCGGTTCATCTCCTCCCCCGGCAGCCCCGTGGTTGGCGGCGGAAGAGCTTCCGGGTCAGGAGCCTAGGCGCCTGGGTTCCGCGCCGCTGTTCGTCTGCGGTGCTGCTCCAGTAGGGTCTTGGACGAGCTCCTCGCAGACGGTGGTGGCGGCGGGAGCGTCCGCGACACAGTCCGAGGCAGGGGAGGGGAGGAGGGCGGCGGGGCTGCGCGCGCGCGTGCGCGCGCCGGGCTCGAGCATGAGCTGGACTTGACCGCGAGGCGGAGGCTAGAGCCACCGCCCCCTCTTCCCCTCCCCGGAGAAAGGCGGTGCGACGGCCCGCGAAGGATGGGGGGCGCCCGCCGGTTCTGAGCCTCGCCACGCGTCTTCGCCTCGCGCCGGGCTTCGCACGGGCCTCTCGTGCGCGCCCTCGGCCCCCAGCCTGCAGCCTCCGCACGGGCCGTCCGTGCAACCCGGACCGGCGAGGAAGGGGCGTCCGTCAGGGTGGGTGGGGCGGGGAGGGAACCTGAGGTCACCGGCTCGGGGGAGAGGCGGAACTGCAGACCGGCGGGGTCCCCCCGACCCTTGCCCTCGGCTGAAGAAGTCACCGTAAGTCTCAGCTGCGCGGTACGGGTGGATGGGGCTGTCTCAGTGCATTTTGAGGTCCGAGTTCAAGGCTGCCTGGTTCACGCCCTCCCGTGTCTGTCTGTCTGGCCCGGTCGCTCTGTCTCCGTCTGTGCTTAGGCACGATCCTCCGTCTGCCCCTCAGGGCTCTGCTCCTGGAAGCCGCCTGGGTTTCCAGGGCGCGTCCCATCCGCCCTAGCTATACTGGAAATGGATTTGTGCCCTCCCTCGTTTTTCTCAAGACCCTAGAGCGCACAGCCTTCCCGGACCATCTTTGAGATGTGGAAAGCCCCGGGTTCCACGGATCTCACGATCTAAGCGTAGGGGAACGGGTGGGCTAAGGTGTTCTGCAGGGCTGTAATGGGTGGGGATAGGTGCAGGTGGCTCCAGTGAACCTTTATTTTTGCTGCTTCTGCCACCAAAACAAAAGAATGGGCACTCCCTGTACCTTCATTCTTCTCCCTATGGGAACGAACTATTTTCTGTATGTTGCTCTTTGAGTAGAAGGAAATTGTAGGTAGAGCTGTAATTAAGCCTCTTCTGAGGAGATCTTAGTCTGTAAGCTTGGTTCACACGGAATGGCATATTGAACAATCTTGTGTTGAAAAGAATACCCATGCCCGAAAAGCGTTACCAATATATCTGACAATTGAATGTGAGAACAAGTCTGGTATTTCAAACAGTCTGTTTTAGCTACCTTTAGATGATTTTTAGTGTTCTAATTTACAGTTGGTTCTTAATTTACAAGTGTGTGTGTGTGTGTGTGTGTGTGTGTGTGTCTGTGTCTATATGACGATCCTTGTCTCGAATCTTTTGCTTTGTTAGTGGAAACATAGAGCTTAAAAATACTTTAAAGTGAGTTTTAAAACCTGTGTCACATTACATTTTACACTATTTTAAATCTTTAATTTCAGATACAATTTTTTCTTCTTAGTTTTTTTTTAAATTAACTGCAAATATCTCCAATGTGTATTTTCAGGTTTTTGACTAGATATTTCCCCCCATTAAAATTTGGGTTGCTTTTTAAACTACTGCTCCAGAACTTCCCAGAAATTCGATTAAAATATAATTTTAATGCTGCCAATGATTGGACAATAGCTGCGATATGCCTTCATGCATATAACTTCTTTTCAAGGCATCATAGAAAACAAATTGTAATTTAAGAAAATTATTCTGTATTTTGTAGGTTCATTATTATTTTGTAAATTACTCTGTAATGTAGTCTGGTAGCCTTGATGAATTGCACTGTGTGATAAACACTTAATAAGAAAGATAGATGTGTTTAATGCTAATACCCCCATCTCCATGCCCCCTCCCATCAAAACAACTTTTGGGCAGTTGGTTTTGTACTGTTATTTGATCTATAATCTTACATGATATATGTAGCTCTCTCTGCCTCTTTGGAAATGTACTTGGCACAGATGCCAAGCACTGTGCAGAGTTGAGCAAATTATTAGGGTGTGGCTTTTGTTTTCTATAAAATTGATCAGCTTCCGAACCACAAGATTGAGATGTTGCAATAAGCTGATAGGCAATAACTTGGAGAAATTTTTAAAAAGAAAAAAATAAGTCCATTGATTCACCTTATTCTTGGGGCAGGGAGGACCATATTTTCTATTTGTTCCTATACGGACAGCTCTGAAGATTTTGAATTTATGAAATGAAAGGGTTCTGAAGTCTTACAGACCAAGTTCCAAACGAGGGCTGTAACAGGTGGCTGCTGAGACATGGGAAGTAAGTTTTGAAAGTCACTAGTACTCCTGTGGTAGTGCCCGCTTTGGTTGTCGTCTTCCTTTTCTGTGTATATTTTCTAACTTGTGAAAGTGAAATGTGTATTTTCAATTTTCTTGTAGGTAATAGTTTTAAGTGAATAACTTTCATGATCATTTTGTTTTGTTTTTTAAAAAAGCCTTTATGGAGTATCTTTGTGGAAGCTCAGTTACTTTGTAGACCTACAAGATAAATATATATATTACGATTTCCTTTCTTGGGCTGGGAAGGTGGCTCAGTGGTAGAGTGCTTGCCTTGCATGCATAAGGCCTTGGGTTCAATTCCTCAGCACCACATATGCAGAAAAAGCCAGAAGTTGTGCTGTGGCTCAAGTGGTAGAGTGTTAGCCTTGGGTTGAAGAGTTTAGGGACAGTGCCCAGGTCCAGAGTTCAAGCCCCATGATCAACAACAACAACAAAAATATTTCCTTTTCATTAAATTTACCAGTCTAGATATTCAATTATGCTTCTTCCCATCTGCCTTTTTAGATTTCTCAAATAGATTTTAAAACCCTTGGGCCAGCCTGGTGGCTTAGGAGGCATAGGTAGGAAAATCACAGTCCAAGGCCAGCCTCAAGCAAAAAGCTTGAGCCGCTTTCCAAGCAATAAAGGTCTTTGGCATGGTTTAAGTGATAAAAGTGCCTGTCAAGCAAATGCAGTCTTGAGTTCAACAAAATCCCCAAACTACCAGAAATCAAGCCAAACATATACCCTACCAACCCCAACAACAAAAACTGTTTGATCTTTTTACAAGGTTGATTTGAAGCGCTTCAAGAAAGATAAGCACCATAAATGCAATATGAAGTGCTTAATTTGCGCTAGTCACGCTGAGCATTATATGTTATTACATTTAATTTTAAGAGTAGTCCTAAGAAGTCTTTTGTTTTCATTTAAATTTATGACTGAATTTTATTTCATTCTGTAACATACTAGAAAAGGTGAGGAATTTTTTTCTTTATAAGCAAGCAAGGGTTCCTTTGTAACAATTCCAAACATGAATACATTGTATCAACTCCCCTCCTCTATCACTGCCTTTTATCCTACTCCCCAGTTCCCAGACATTTTCAGTAGGTTTCATTGTTTTTATTTATTATTATTGATTAATTCAGTATGAGTACTGGAGCTTGGACTCAGGGCCTAGGTTTTGTCTCTTAGCTTTTTCATCCAAGGCTAGCACTCTACCACTTGAGTCGCAATTCCACTTCTGGCTTGTGATGGTCAATTAAAGATGAGAGTTTCACACACTTTTATTCCTTGACTGGCTTTGAACCGATCCTTAGATCTCACCTTCTTGAGTAGCTAGTATTACAAACTTATTGTTCTATTTTCATATATATATAAACAAATTTTCTACCATATTCATCCTCTTTCATCTTCCTTAGCTTTCCTTCCTGCCAGTGGCACTACTACCCTCAATGATGCCTGCCTCAGTTTCCTTACATTTGTTTTCAGTATGTATTAGTTGCAAGAAGCTGCCCTATGGTGTTTCAGATGTACATATATTAAACCTTACACCACATTTTCTTGATTCATCCATTGTAGGATATCTGGTCTGTTTTTATAACTTGGCTATGGTGAATAGTGTAATAAAACATGGATGCAAGTGTCTTTATTGTATCCTGACTTGTAATCTTTTGGATAATTGCCTAAGAGTGGTATTGATGGAGTATAGAGTAGTTTTATTTTTAAAAATCTGTAGTTTTATATTTATAGATTTTTAAGGAGTATCCAGATTGCCTTCCATAGTGGCTGCACTAATTTACATTCCCAACAACAATGTAATAGGGTTTATTTTCCTCGCATCCCTACCACTACCAGCAACAATGTTTGTTTGTGTTCTTGATGATGGCCATTCTTACTGGGTGAGATGGATTCTTGTTGTTGTTTATGATAAGAGATGTTGAGCATTTCTTCTTGTATTATTGGCCATTTTTACTACTTCTGAGAAGTCTCTATTTAGCTCCTTTGCTCAAATCTATTGTTTATTGATTTGTTAAGGGTTTAGTTTCTTTATCTCCTTGTATATTCTGGATACTTAGGCCTTTGTTGCATTGAAAGCTGGGAAAGATAACCTATTCTGTAGTCTTTTTAGCTTAGTAACTATGTTCTTTGCTGTGCAGAAACTTTTACCTTGATGAATTCCATACCCATTTGTTGAGCTGGAATTCTCGGGAAGTTCAGCCTATGCCAAATAATTTCTGTTTCTCTTACTCCTTCCTGAAGTAGTTTCAAGGTTTCAGGTCTTACATTGAAATCTTCAACCCATTTTGAAATAATATTAGCACAAGGTGATAAGGATACATT